CGAATAAATCTGTGTCCAATAATTTTGTGTCCAATAATTTGGTGTCGAATCGATCGGTGTCGAATCGTACTGTGGTCAAACGGAACACGCCCACATATTTGGCCAATAATAGTTCACGAGTAATCGCTGATACGTCTTTTTTTACACCTAAGTGGCCAGCTTGAGGGTCTTTGTGTGCTTCAACCATTGCTTCCCTATGTAATTGTTTTGGCAACACCATCTTCCACTTATCTAAATCTTCAACAACATCAGAAAAAACCGGTCAAGGTTGCAGATACTATAAATGACCGTCTACTATGTTCCAATCGAGACTTCCGTTTCCGGCGCAGAATATACGTCTATACTCTCATAGAGTATAGACGTGGCGAGAATAGCGAGAAAAGAATAAATTGAGATTGAGTGAATAATAAGAGAAGAGAGTGGATGAGAAGTGTGGAGGGTGTGCGAGAGTGATTTTGTGAGTGGGTGAGAGTGAAGGGAGGGGTGGGTGTGTGTAGGTAGAAGAGTAGAGAATTTTAAAAGGTTTTTAAAATCGAGTTATATGATAGATAAACAACGGGCATAGACTAATAAAGAGGTGCGATCGTACTGGAAAAAGAAAGTCACTAGAACCGAGATTCAACTCGCAAGTCGAGAATCGAGTGTCTAGGGACTTTAGTTGAGAGGTAGGAGAACGTGATTGGTCAGTGGAATTTAGAGATTTTATAGTTAGATAGCGGGGTATAAAGAATAAATATGGATAGAAATAAATGCAAAATTGATAAATTATTTGAAGAAGAGAAGAGGAGGGAAAGAAAAGGGAGTATGGGAAGCATAGATGAGTTGCTGAAATTAAAAAAAGAAGAGAGGGAGTGAAGAGACAGCACAAGCAGTGTAAGCAGCATCGATGATACACAAAAAGAAAAAAGAAAAAGAGTTGAAATGGAGAAAAACGAAGGAATAGAGGAGGAAAGTTTTAAGAAGTGTAGAAAAGCAGCGGGATCACCGAATAAGATGAAAGATGCAGTAAAGGAAGAGGTAGGAATATGGTTGAAAGAAATGGAAGGTAAATTAGAAGGCTTCATGAGAGAAATGGTACAGGAAATGAAAAATGAATCCAAATTACAGAGAAAAGAATGGGATAGAGAAAGAGAAGAGATGAAAAAGGAAATAACGCAACGTAAATCCAGAATACAAAAACTAAAACAGGAGAAGAGCCAAGTGACAGAAATGAAGCATAAAGGAGGAGAGAGTAAAAATGTATATCTGATAGATAAAATAAAAAGATTAGAGAATAGTATACAAAGCAGAAAAAGAGAGAAAAGGAGAAGAAGTATAATAATAAAAGATATTAAAATTAGAGACGGAAAAAGAAAAGAAGCAACAGAAAAGATTTTGAATCTAATAGGTGCAAAGGTAGAGATAAAAGAAATTAAAAAAATTGGAGAAAAAACAGAAAAAGGAAGAGGTGAGATGCTACTGGTCAAACTTGGTAATAAAGATCAGAAATGGGATATATTAGCAAAAAAGAAAATGCTAAAGGGAACAAGAGGGAAAATCTCTGAAGATCTTACATGGAGAGAAAGAAGATCAAGATAGAAGCTAGCTGAGATAGCAAGAAGAGAAGCAGAGAAGAGAAAGAGAGTGTGGATCAGAAAAGAGAGATTATGCATAAATGGTCAATGGTGGAGATGGGACGAAGACAAGGAGAAGTTGACAAAGGATGAAAGGGACGTACGAAGTAACGAGAGTAAGGTGGGGGAAAGACAGTGAGGGCTCAATTGGAAGGGAACGAGTATGAAACAGAAAATGTGTTAACAAAGAGATGTTCGAGAATGCGTGGACGATTATCCCGAGTAGAAAATGATTAAGGTTTGCCTGCATTTTGCTCCGGGCGCAATCAGGTAATGTCATGGCTTGCCTTATTTTGGAAAACCTGATCCGGTGCTGATAGTGTCTACATCAGGGTTACCGTATTATTTGATACATGTGGCCCTTCTGTCAGCGCCGCAATGAGGGCTGCTCTATTAGCGCTTCATTGAGGAAATCTTTATGCGGTCCTGATTGGGTTTTTTCTAAAATTCTCTATTGAATGTGCGCATGTGCACATTCTATTGAAATAAGAATCATCGAGAGCTAGAAAACAACTTCATTATAAAATTGCAATTTTTATACTGTTGTGTGAAGTGAAATAAAAAATAATGGATCGTGCGGAAAAAATTAGAAAATTAACACGAATATGTGTTCAAAGATTTCGTGTGATTCGGAAAAAAGGCACGTACACTACATTATTTGTAGTTTAAATAATGTAGGTAATTATTTGTAGGTTAAATTACTATTATATAGAAATG